GTGCTTACAGTGAAAAAGAAGATGTACTGTTGAAAAGGAGATTATGGTAGCAGGGCAAAACACCAAGAGCCAGATTTGTCAGACAAGAATTGAAACTGTCTGCTCTCAAGAAAACAAGTAACATACAAGTGAAGACAGAAGAGAGTCACTGGCACCACTGCAGCACACAGGAGAGAAGGATGTGCCACTTCTTACTTTCTCCTCAAAATTTATGCCCAGTGCAGAGTTTTTAAGTGACTGTGGTGTCAGAGAAAACAGGAAAATAATAATAAAAATCCTCACACCTGCTACCTGCTTTGGTTTCATTATTAGGTTTAATTTCTCATCATTTATGTCTTGGGCTTTATGTTATTTTGTTTTGATGCAGCTCCACTAGGGCAATGAACTTGCTGTCATTGGCTTTATGACACTAACCATGCCTTGGGAAAATCTAAAAAATGATCTGAGTTCTTCTCTAAGACTGTTGGGCAAAGAGGAGGAGAAGAATTTAATTAAGCATGCTATTTCTTTTAAATATGTCTTTAATTATTCACAGTGACATTAACATTCCAAAGTGATTTTAAGGCTGTTATTCCAATGCTATTAGTCTTAGACTAAATTATTATCTTCAGACCTTTAAACTGTATATACTTGATCTAACGTGATTCTAATACACCTTAAGCATTTCTATCTTGAAGCATCTTCTCACACATGTGAAAAATTGGCACCGTTTAGATAGGGCAGAGGAAAGAGAAACGAATATCGGCTACCAACTGGAAATATTTAAGGAGTTAGCTATTGCAGCAGAAAGAGAACAAAGTTAAGAGAGTAAATCCCAAATGGGGAGAAAAGCAGTCGTGGGTAAGAACCCAGGCGCATGGTACTCGGAACTTCACCGTGCTCCACGAACATCGGCTTTTATAGCGGTTCCCAAAGACAGTTGCAAAGACGCGAAAAAATGTGAGAGAAAGAACAAATATAGGGCACAGCGGACCAAGAGGACCGGGAAGGAGGAGTAGACAAAGAGGACGTGCAACCCTCGTGTGTGAGCGGCTGCAGCAGCAGCGGGCTGGCCGCTGGCAGGTGCCGAAGCCGCCGGGGCTCTCCCCGCGCTGCCCCGCCGCAGTTAGCGCTGGGCACTCCCGGCCGCGGCCGCGCCACTCACGATGTTCATGTTCGTTTCGGGGTCCACATTCCTCCTCCCTGCGGCGAACGCGCCCGAGCCGCCGATGCTCTGCAGCAGGAAAGCAGCGAGCACCAGGCCCCGCATCATCGTCCTACGAGAAGGAGCCGGGACACGGCGGCCGAGCAGAATGCAGCGCTACACCGGCTGCGCGCGGGCCCGGGCGAGGCTTTTGTGCCACCCCTCGGTGACTGGGGCGGGAGCAGCGGCGCGGCCGGGCCGGGCCGGGCCGGGCGTGTCCCGCGGGTCGCAGCGCGAAGGGAGCGGCGGGGGCGGCGCTGCCGGGCCGGGCCGGGCTCAGCCCACACGGCGCGGCCCTATCGGCGGTGCCGCCGCGGCGCGGCCTTGGCCGCCCGGCCCGCCGTGATTCAGCGTTTCCGCAGCAATGCTGTGTGAATCCTCCCGCCCCCCGGGCTCCATTTCCAGGAGCCGAGCAGCCTTCAGAACGGCGCCCGTGAATTTGCTCCTCTGCCCGCCTCGCCATCTGCATTTGCTCCGCCTTCGGAGCCCGCACGGCGCCGCCCCGCCAGGGTCTGCGTTGTGCTCCGTGCACAGAGCGGCAGCAGCAGCAGTGAGGAGAGCGGCAGGGCCGCCCTGCCAGGGTCTGTGTTGTCCTCCATGCAAAAAGCGGCAGCAGCAGCGATGAGGGCGGAGGTGCCGCCCTGCCAGGGTCCGCGTTGTGCTTCGTGCACAGAGCCGCAGCCGCAGCGAGGAGAGCGGCAGGGCCGCCCTGCAGGGTCTGCGTTGTGCTCCGTGCACAGAGCGGCAACGGCAGCAGCGATGAGGGCGGAGATGCCGCCCTGCCCGCCGGAGCAGCATCCCCGGGTGCCCCCGGGGCAGGACACCCGCGCCTCGGCACCGCCCGTGCTTCCAGGGGCACCACAGCAGCCACTGCTGCTCCTGTACACACCCATCACCATCCGTCATCTTCGAGCACTGTCTAACAAATCCAGCCTATGCAAATGGGCTTCCATGCGTGAAGGGTTGCCATCACGGCTTCCTGCAAACCTGTGCCATGTTCGTGCTCTGCGGCAGCTGATTTGCAGGCGCTGCATTGCACAGCTGTAACTTCCCGGAGAAGCGTGTCTGTGGTCAGGGAATGTGTGACCGGGCTTGCGAAAACTTGACCAAATTCAATCTTTTAAAATAAATATTCTGTTACTCTGCCCATTACTGTGGAATAAAATCCATAGAATAATACAGAAAGCTGATACTAAATATGGAGTGACAGAGCAAGAGGATGTCCAGAACAGAAACGTTTCTGTTTATTTAGAAAGCATTAAGATTTTAATTGAAAAATCATGGAAGTTTTCATAGCATCCCCATGTTTTTATATGTGAATATGTCACTAAATACAGAGATACTATATGATCCTTTGCATGCCTGGCTGTCATTTCTTAAAACTGTTTGATTTTAAAAAACTTGGGTGGGAAAATTATTGCTCAGTGATTCACTTGAGTTTTTTGTCAAATTAATTACAGATTACTCTTCCCTGCTAAGGGAAAAACCAAATTACAAAATGCCACAATTACTGCTGTCAAACATAGTAATTATATGCTAACCTAGGCTAAATAGGAACCAGTATAAAATAGGATATGTAAAGGGACCCTGTAATTTACTATGGTATACTTAATTTACATTATTTTTAAAAAGGAAAACTGCATTTCAGGCAATTGTTTGGCTGACCTAATGCTTCCAGGGGGTATTCTTTTTCAGGATGTATCCATTTCAGCTCCAAGGAAATACCCAGATTTGAATTTTCTCTCATAAAACGTGTAGATACGTTTGAAGACATTTCTTATTCTTCTGTATGTAGAGATCACTCCAGTAACGAAAGACTTTTTATTAAATACGAATGCATTTGTTGTTCCAGCACATTTCCAGACATGTTTTCCAAGGAGCTTCTGCATTTGTTGCTATGCAGTGCAGCTCTTCCTGAGAGCAGTCAGCCCAGCCACAGCTTGTTCTGAAGTGAAAGCAGCAGAGCTGTAGAAAGATTTCTGAATTTGCAGTGCCCAGCAAGTTACAGAGATGGCTGCAGAAAGGCTTTGCATAACTGTTCTCTTACTTACTCTGATTTAAGCACTTTCCTGCATGTATTTTATTTAATAATCATTTGTGTCAAACCATAGCATATGGATGCAAATAAATTAGTAAAACATAAGGAAACTAGGGCAAACTTCTGTGTTTCAGAAGGAAGATGCCTGCATTTTCCCACAAGCAGAGTATAAAGGAAAACAGATGTCTGGGAGAGAAGCAGAGACAAGAAACCCACAGATACTTAGCAGCATAGTAAAACATTAGTCTCCACATTAGGGTTTGGCATTGCAGTAACCTTTCAAGCACTTTTTTCCCCCTGTAACTACCTACAACCTTTATTTTACATAAAATACATGGATTTGTGTAGATACCCTTATCTGTTTCCTTCTCAATCCACTGCATCTTTTCATCACCTATCAAATTGCTAGAATCTTGAATGCTGCTCAGAGCATTCTGACTATTCTGCTTCGGCACAGCCGGGGAAAAGCTCAGCTTCACTTTCTTTTTCCCAGTAATTTCATCACAGATCAAATGAGTGCTGGACCAAATAAATGGAAGGCACAACAGCAGTGGGCAGCACTCCTTTAGGAGCTGCACTAACCTTTATCTTGAGCTCTGAAACATCAGCTCCAACAGCCCCTCCACAGACACCACAAACACACAGACAGACACTTAAGACACAAGGCGGGGGTGTGGGGGTGTTTGTGTGTTACTCAGGCTCTCCAAATTTTTGTGAAAAACAGAAGTTCTAATATGTAGGACTGGTTTGTTGAGTTTTTTTTTTAAGGAGGGAAAGAGTGGAAGGGGAAAAGGAGAGAAAAGAAGGGAAGAAGAAAATTAGGGAAAATAACAGTTATCAGGTACTAACATCTCTGCCACCATGCTGAGGGTTGTGGTTTCTTCTTCCTCTCACCAGATCTAGTTTGAGTCATTTTTATAAGTTGGGTAACACACTTCTAGACCTTTCTTTTTCTTCCCTAGTCTGCAGCTTCAGGTTACATCTGAATTTACCATATGTAGTGCCATTTATTTATGTTATGACCTATTTCTTGTTTCCCTGTGTTACTCCCAAAGTCAAGTTACAGAGCCGGGTCTGCATTTTTAATTTTTTTAAACTAAGCATCAATGAGTTGTTTGTTCATAGATGCTCCAGAGCCCGGGCCATTCCCATCTCTGTTGCCAGGTGTGTAGCCTGTAGCAGGCATTGCTCTTGCCAGCATCAGGCTGTAAGCTTTGGATGGCCTGGGGACCAAGGCTTGCTCAGTTTGACCTTGTCCTGACCTGTCTTCAGCTTTGTTTTGCTTGGCACACCTGTGACAGCAGTTTCTCAAACTGACTGCCTCTGTCTAATGTGATTTGTGAAAGGATAGTCGTGGGTTTATGTAGAGAGCAGCAGCAAACATTTTCTGTGGATGGGATACTTAGAACTCTTAGACAATGGCGTAGTACAGAAGAACAGAGACCTGGTACAGCATCAGAGACCTCGTGGTGTGGAGACACAGGATGAACGAGTGCAGAGAGGGGAGATAAGGGTTTGTTTGTGTGTGTGTTACGTGGGTGACACAACACCAATAAAACAGGAGCCTACAGCATGGCACTGAATTGTGCAAAGATGCATCAGCAGAGGCACCAGGGGCAAATGACCCTTGCCTAGCCTATGCAGGATAACCAGGTGAGCCCCCACTAGCCTGAAATATTCTCTTTATCGTGGATGTCTCTGCCTTTGAACACAGCAAACGCTGGGAGCATTAGGAGCCGTTGCCACATTCTCCACAACACCAAGTAATGCATGGCACAGAGCCAGGCTGCAACGGCTCGGCTTAGAGACTCAGTTTCATTTCCTCAGCTGCAGACTGACTATTCTGCTTCGGCACGCCAGGGGAAAAGCTAAGTTTCACTTTCTTTTTCCCAGACATTTCATCACAGACCATGAGTGCTGGACCAAATAAAAGGAAGGCACAACAGCAGTGGGCAGCACTCCTTTAGCTTTGGGGCTATCTGAAGACAAGTGAGCAGAAAAGGAAAACCATGAGGTAAGAAAGCAATCCAGTCTCTGAAACATGCTTTTTTTTCCTCCATGCCACGGGAAAATAATGCTTATTATTTACATAAATGTAAGCAGTGAGGGACTTTGAGCATCTAGAACCAGTAAATATTTTACAGAATATTTAGAGAAGAACCAAAATAAAATAAGGATGCTCTTGAATGTTGTCATGTTACTGCTTCTCTAATGAGGTTAAGTCTCTGTGAGTAGAACAAAAGTCTGAATTTTTTTTGCATGCAGTGTGAGGATGAAATCCAGGCTGTAGCAGGGGCAGCTGGTGCCCAGCCAAAGAGGTATAATCTGTCTCTCAAACCTGTGTTTGTGATTCCTCCTTGATTTGCCTCCTCATAATAATTTTGCAGTCTTTCCACTCAGTCCTTTTTTTACTCAAAAGATTTGATTGTGCAGCTGAGCAGCAGCAAATGCTGTGCCCCACAGGCTCTCAGACCTGCTAGGAGTTGCAGGACAGACAGCAAGGAAGTGTTTCTAAGAAAGGAAGATTTGACTGAGGAGCCTCAGTAATAGAATTGTGTGTCAACTCTTCTTTAATTAAGGGAAAGCAACAGTGTAGACTAAAATGTCATCTCTGTGTTGTAAAAACGTTCTCTTGATTGTGTGACAGTTTGTGCACCCACACAGGGACACAGGACACAGGTAGGCAATGGCAGCAGGGGAAACCCAAATAACACCCTGCCCTGGTGGCTCCACATTTGGGAAGAAAAAGCTGTTGAATGATGGAGAGGGATTGTCCTGATTTCATCTGGTATAGAATTTTCTTCTCAGCAGCTGGTACAGTGTTTTGGTTTCATTATGCCAATTATGTGTATAGCACACTCACAATTTGTTGGTAGTTGTGTTTATCCTAGTCAAGGACTTATTTGTGTCTCAAGCTTTGCGAGTGAGGAGGTGCACAAAAAAGCTGGAGAGAGCACACCTAGGGCAGGGGATCTGAACTGGCCAAAGGGATATTCCACACCAGAGAACATCATGCCCAGTACATAAACTGAGGGAGTCACCTGGAAGAGGGCTGGTTGGGGTGCAGGGACAGAGTCTGGCATCAGATAGCAGGTAGTGAGCAATTGTACTGTGCACCACTTGTTTTTCTTTGAGTTTTATTTTTTCCTTTTGTCGTAAATATTAATATTTACTATTGCTATCTTTTATTTTGCTTAACTTGTTAGAAATTATTAAATTCTGATCTTAACCTACAATTTTTACTTTCGGTTCTCCTCCCTGTTCCACTAGTGGGGGACAGGGGGAGATGAGTGAGCAGCAGCATCTTGCTTAGCTGCCAGCTCAAACCACACCATGGACACAGGAGTGTTAAGGACCAGTAGTATGTCTGGGTAATAAGGGTGTGTGAGTGTGTGTGTCTAGGGAAGAGGCACCTGGGAGAGAGAGAAGCTCCCTGACCAGCCAGAGGCAGCATCTGAGGAGTCACAGGGTTAGTGAGTGAGCGTGTGCTTTGCACCAGCAAGTGGAATGGGGTTACATACTCATGGGCTGTACATCCAAGTGCCAGCAACTGGAGAGGCTGGTGAGATCCGGGACCCAATTCCTGGATACATTAACCATATAAGCAGTATAACCATTACATAAGAATGGTGCTATGATCTAACATACAAGGATTTAAAAATGCAGGAAATCCAAAATGAAATTTATAATAGAAGCCATAACATGTACAAAGGTTTAGGAAATTGAGTAAATCAAATTATTTATAGTTAAAGGGAATTTTAAGTGATAACATCTTTTGGGTAGGCTTCAGCAATTGTTCCCAGCACAGGAAGTATGTTTCTGAGGCCCAAGGGTGTGCCAGCTTTACTACAGAGACCAGCCCTCCATTTTAACATCCACAGCAACATCTGTTTCTGTGTAAGAGGTGCCATCAAACACTGGCGAGAAGAATTACTAAAATCGGTATTCAGCACTTTGGACCTAGGTCTCCCTACAGCTTTGGCTTGTTTGAAGTATTGTGGACCAAGTGAGGTATTGCCTGCCTTTAAAGTACATCATGCCAGGCTTAAAAATAAGAATAGCAAAAAGTAAATGGGGTGTAAACAACCTTTTTCTTTGATTTCTTCTAGTACCATTTCCAAGGATTCCTTGAAGACTTCCCTATTGCAGTTAGAATGTCATTTTACATGGGGTTTGCTGAAGGAGCATGTAAGTCTTGAGGCCCTAGAGGAAACAACACTTGATCATATCAAGTTTTTGGCAAAATATGAGATTAGAGATTATAATTTACTCTCCTATGTAAAATACCTAAAGAATTCAAATGAGGAAGCCCTGAGAAGTCTCAAAAAAGCTGAAGAAGCTATTCAAAAACGTCATCCAGATGAAATTGACAGGAAAAGTCTTGTTACCTGGGGGAACTATGCCTGGATCTATTACCACATGCAGAGATATGAAGAAGCTCAAACTTATGTAAGCAAAGTGGAAAACAGCTGCAAAAAGCTTTCAAGTTCTGCTGATGGGAAGATTGAGCTTCCAGAGATCTACGCTGAGCAAGGATGGGCATTATTGCGGTTTGGGAGGGCTTACTTTGAGAGGGCAGTGAATTGCTTTGAAAATGCTCTGAGGAGTGAGCCCAATAACTCAGATCTTAATGCTGGCTATGCAACAGCAATGTATCGCTTGGAAGGCGACGCTCGGTGGTATGGTGGGGAGAGGAGGCCATGCCTCGAGGCCCTGAAGCGGGCAGTGGCACTGAACCCAATGGACACTTCCATTATGGCATTGCTTGCATTAGAGCTTCAGCGATTACATCGAGCTAATGAAGGGGAGAGGTACATTGAAGAAGGACTGCAGAAAACCCCTGACTTTCCTGTTTTCCTGCGACATGCTGCTAATTTTTACAGAAAGGAAAAAAAAGTGAACAAGGCACTGGAGATTTTGAAGAAGGCCCTAGCACTGACGCCAAAGTCTGTCGTTCTGCATCACCAACTAGGACTCTGCTACAGATCCAAGGTACTTCAGCTGAAAAAGACAAGATACCCATGTAGAGAGGAAATGGAGAATCTCATGGAGCTTGCCATTTTTCATTTTAAAACAGCGATTGACAAAAAGCCAGTATTTTTTTCTGCCTATAGTGACCTAGCAAAGACATATGCAATAGACAAGAGGTATGAAGAAGCAGAAAAGACGTTTCAGAAAGTGCTTCAGAGAAATGATCTAGCCTGTGATGAAAAACAAGACATCTACTTCAATTATGGCCATTTTCAGCAATTTGACGTGAAATCAGAATCAAAAGCCATTAAATATTACATAGAATGTCTGAAACTGGAAATGGATTCCTATCCAAGAAAAAGGTCCAGTGAAGCTGTGGAGACATTATTGAAACAGAAAATTGAGAGTGGTTTAGGAGATGCCACCGATATTGGTACACTTGGACTCGTTCATAAACTAAATGGTAAGAAACAAGAAGCAATTGAATGCTATGAGGAAGCCATTGCTTTGGATCCTAACAATGAAGAATATCTGAATGCATTAACTGAGCTACGACTTTCCATTTCAAGCTAAAGCTCACAAAAATCCTGTGTACCAAAAAATCTCCCAAACCAAGGAGGTTTCAACAGACTTTCAAAACCTTTTTTGTTGTTTGTTTTTCTTTTGAAGGTAGACATTATGACCAAATAGAACACAGGTGGTATCACTTTCCACTCATAATGTAGAAACTGCAGACAATTGTTGATTTGTTCATTCACTAGCAAAAAGCATGCTTGGATAACTATATAATATATAAAATATATACTTATAGCTAATCTAACTTAGTCTTCAATGCTAACATAAGTATAAATGTTGGATTTAAGTGATAGTCTGCAGAACACAGAACTTCTGTGCTGAAACCAGATATTACCTTCTACTGAGAAAAAGATAAGGGAATCATACAGTAGTATTTTGTCTGTATACTTGAAGGCATGCTTATACACAAATAGAATTTCTGAAGCTTTTTTAAGTATTTCAAAAATATCTTTTGTAGAAGAAACTTTTGTTGAAGGCTTGTTCAGTTTACTACCTTGTATGCTGTTTAGTTATGAAAAACAAATACCGTTTAGCTAGTCCACTGGAAGCTTACAAAATGTATACTATTGCTGTGAACTACTAAAGTCTGTTTAATCTGTTGACTGTTGCTTCTGAGTATCTTTCTGATAACCAGCCTTCATCTTAGTAGATTAAGTAAAGTGAAACAGCCATTCCAAAAAGTAAGAAGGATAAAGTTTTGGTAGGATATGAAAGGCTGAGGAGCCTTTCATATTTATTTTCCCTGACCTCTCAGCAAAACTGGCTCCAGGGGCATTGCACAAAAGAATTAAACTGTGCACAAAACAACATCTGTCTAGTTTACCCAAAACACCCTATCAGGAACCACAACTTCTGGAGAGGAAGGAAGGACACTCTTTGAGATGCCAAATAGATGGCTATGGCCATGCTTGTCAAAAAAGCCAGGGATAGCAAACATACACAAGAAATGACCTGAACTGGACGCGGAGGGGAGAGCACAGCCAGAGCAGAGCTGGGTGAGTGCCCCAGAACAGGGCAGGGGAGCACAAGGGGCATGTGGAAAAAGGGGTGGGTGCCTAAAACAGCGCACTTCAACAAGTCCCAGAGAGCAACCCCTCGCTTTCAGGGCCTGGAGCACACTTGCAGAAAAGCTAATGAAGAAAGGCAAAGGACAGGTCGTTGTTTGGAGATCCAAAGGCTGTTTACTGCTTCCAAGGAGGTCCACAGAGAGACACAGAAGAGGGTGGAGGGTACAGGGTTAAATATGGGGGGGAAAAGGGGTGGCTCTGAGGACCAGTGGGAACAGGGAAAAGTAGTGCAGGGGGGAGTCAGCAAACTAGGGGAATGAATGGGATAACAGGGGTGGAACAACTGGGAGAGCCAATGAAACTGGAAATATTAACATGTGCCTGCAGAGGCCCATGGCAGGGAGGCTTTTCTCACCCTAACAGAAGAGGGATGTTTCCCCTCACTTGTTTCTGCTCCTCATAGATTAAGGTGCTGTCACTTCAGTTGCAGGACTTTGAGCCTCCACAGGTGCCCATAGGGTCTACATAGTTGGAAGAAAGCACTAAAATGCCGAAAGTCTTCAGCTGTCCAACTAAATTTTGCTATTGTTTGTAGTATCCTTTTCTAATTTCCCAGTAGTGTCCCTGTGTTTGATAGAGCATAGTACTCAGGGAAAACTAGTGCTCTACTTCCAAAATGTTTCTGAGCCCTAGCCACTAGAGTAGCATGAAGCAAACTGGTGACAGAGCCCATCAAGAAGGATGTGCACTTTAGTTTCTAGCCATCCTGGAGCGTTCCTGCACCCACAACAGCACCCCCATACAGACAGGATGACAAGCCATGAAGGAGTGTAAAACACTGATGCCAGATCACAAAATAACAATAAACCTCTTCCTTCTCAGCTCTCCTTCAGAGAATCTTTTATACCACGAGCAAAAGCAATCAAGTGTACATATTGCAAACACTCTTCCTAAGAACCAGCTGGACCAAAATCCACCCTTGTTTCCCAGCCACCTGCCAGATTCTCTGTTACACACAAAGGCAGCCCTACCTAGGGAAGGAGTGGTGAGGAGGGAGAGGAGGGGGACTGGGAACAGTTCTGGCAGACCACTCCTGAAAGCTGGCTGCAGCAGCAGTGGGGGCAAAGTCAGGAACTGGTGACATGACATTGCTGTGCCCAGCTATGGGGACAAAACGGTCTGTCAGACAACCTCACTGCCTCTGAGAACCTTGAGAGCTTCTAAACTCAGCACCAGCGCTACCTAAACTCCACTGAGGGCATGGAGGGTGGAGGGCAGCAGGGAAGAATTTGGGGAAAAGGTGGTGCAAGCCATGGTGACACATCCATTCTCCCCTCTACACTGCCACCAGGATATCTCCTGAAAGAAGAACCTTGAAGAAATAAGGATAAGGTATAAATTATTTTGGAAAAAATATGTGAGCCTGAATTTTTATGAAGAGTCATAGCAGCTCGATCTGCACAGTGAAGAAACTGTGAGGCATAGTAATGCAAAAAGTGTATTTGTTGTGCCTCACCTCCTTTGTACTCTGCAGGACAGCTCTGGACCACAGATGCCTGGGGATGCTCCCAGGTATCCAGCCTTCTGGATTTGCATGTCTGGTAAATGAGGAAAAGCGTTATTTCCCACAGGGTGGTGCTGCTGCATTGCCTGGAATGCCGACATGGGAGCAGGTTGAGTTGGAGCTTCGGGAGTTAGAGAAAATGAAACACACATTTTTGAGAAATATGTGGGGGGTTGTGGGGGCAAAACTAGAACTGCACAGAGGCTGAACACACCTGTCAATTAATTCACACCCAAATATGAATATAACCCTGAAGCTGATGCTAGCTGTGTAGGGGGAAAATGACTGAAAATAACACTTCAGGAAGTATCAATTTATGACTCAAAAGCACCTTCTAAAGTATATAGAAAATTTTACTGAAATACACCAGAACAAACACTAAGAAGAAGGTATTATTTATTGAGGCAAACCCTACTAAGGACTTTGCCATGCTGACCATGAAGTAGTGTTACAGTTTAAGTTAAACAAGCTCTTCCCTCTCACATAAATTTGTAACACTTTACAAAGAAACAATGTTTGGCAATATAAAATATATTCGCCATATAGTAACACAGCCTTTGTCTTTCCAGAGATAAATTATTATCCAAGCTGATGGGAATGTTTCAGGAATATTTTTTCTGAAAAAAGAGTAATTTTTCAACAGAAGGTACTTGACTTTTCCAATGTTGCTTTCACACAACTTTCCAAGGTACAATTTATTAAATGTTCCAGATTATCACTAGAATATAAATAATTTCAAAATAATTATTATTTCCCCATTTCAAACCCCGTGGAATGGAGACACGTGAGATAACTTCAGCAGCTGTGAGCAGTTTCACTTACTTACACTGAACTTCCATCCACTGCACAGAGCAGAGCATAATCCCAGGTAGGATCCATCTGAGGGAGGATCTGTTGAACAGATGTTACCCAAGCCAAGTCCCACCACGCTGTCCTGGGGAGCCAGACAGGCTCAGCAGTGCAGTGCTCCAGCCGAGCTCATGCCCATCAACGCTTGTGTCCATCAGGGCTGGTGGGAACACAGAATTGCAGGATAGTTAAGGGTGGAAAAGACCCCTAAATCCTCAAACATGCAGTGTTCATCTGGCAAATTGTTCACAGCTAGCTCGGGTATCTTGATTTATTCCCATACTAAGCCATGCCAGGAAATGTCCTCCATGGAGGACTGCCTGAATATTATCATCTCTGAAAAAAAAATATTGCCGATACCATAAATCGTTCTTTAAAACTATTGTGAGCCAGGGATTTCTGTAATGCAGTGCCTGAAATATTTCACATGGCAGGATGAAGGTGATCTGTTCAGCCTGGGTTCTGTGGAGCAGGAGCTGGAAATTTGGCCTGAGGCTTCACCAGCCTGGATTGCATTCCCATTTCTTCCACTTGCAGGTCATTTCTGCTCCACTTCTTTCCTTTTGTTTCTTAGTGGGAGCATTCATGACAGGGCTGATATTTCACAGTGTCCTTTATGCACAGAAGTCTTTATTGCAGTATATAAGCTTTTCTCCATTGACTTTAGTCACAGCAGAGACAGTATTGGAAAGCCCTGAAAGAATTTTACCATTTTCTACAAAAGGTCTGTGGATAAAACCAGTTGAATGTTTGCTTCTAAATAAGATATTTAAAACAATAAGTACTGCTTAAAAAAATAAAGGGAAAAGCATATGAAAAAAATCTTGAAATAATAAGAAAATGCTAATAACATATTACATAGTATAATTTACTATGATAAAAATACATATAGCATTATTCCAACAGGCTTTTACAATATGCAGTTCCATGATGTGCTGTGATGTGATAAACAAAGTAATTAATTTTTTGTAAATTTATTTACAGTGGTAATTTATAACTTGTTCCAAAAAATTGTATTTTTGATTGACCACACTATTCCCTACTTTTTAAAATATTAAAATATTATGATCTAGAACATTATCTTCATCAGTACTCATTAATAAAACCAATTTATTTTTTTCCACATGTGCATATTTTTCCTAACTCATTAAGAAACACCCATGGATAATTTTTGGTTTTTTTAATGAATATATGTTAAAAACTAAATTGGGGCCCAAGAGTCAATTTTCATGCTGAGCTGAAGAAAAGTTATGTCATTGGCTTTAAGAAGACTTTGCACTGCTCTTGCTTATTCTGTGGTCTGTGCACATAGATCATGCTACTGGCTCTGACTACATTCCTAAAGCAGGACAGAAAGAAAGGCTTAATTTAAACACAAATCTATTTTAATATGTTGTATTTAAAATACACTTGGGTAACAAAACTACTTGATACACATGCTATTCATATATATGTGTGTGTGTATATAAAATACATTATACTCCTATGGCTGTACTCTTGGTCTAAATCAAATTGATAAATATCAGTCTATGTTACTTTCACTTCCAAGGCACAGAGTGGAAAAGGACACCATGAGCAGCCATTGAACACACTGCAAAATAACAAAACTACCAGTTGAGTGTAAGTGAAAATTATTTAGACTCTGATCAATTTGTTAATGAACAGAATCAGCTTGATACAGCATTAAAACACTGAAACTATTTGTATTGTGGAATGTAAAGTTTTCCATTGCTGACAATGTGTTCACTCTGGAAATGTACAAAATCACAGTATTTATTAGACCATCACATCAGTAAGTTACTCCGTGAGCTACATGCACTCCCTAGCTCCTGTGAAGCAGCCAGCTGGAGTATATTCCTCACACAAGCAGCAGGAGACTGTCAGCAAGTCACAGCTCTTGTGTTCTGGCCATCAAGGAGAAGTGACCTGACAGCTCTCAGATGGTACAAATGAGCAATTGGCACCACCTGAAGATGCAGTTTCTGGGTCTGAAAAGACACAGACTTGCCCCTGCAATACACAGAAACAATTCTGCCAATGTCCTCTCCATTATCAGCCCAGGGTGGGCAATCTCTCAGCCACCTGGTTGCATGGACTCTAAAGTTCTCTAATAGGTGCTGATTTTACAAGAGGAAGAGGCTCTGGGTTTGAAAACACCGGAGCCTCTCTGGTCTCTTGGGCTGCCTTTGGGCTTCTTCCAACTAATGCACTTAAAGCACATTTGTCTATCAGCATGCCTGGTCCCATGGTACAAATTTACTCCTCTTCAGATAAGCAGAGCCACCACTACACATTTTCCACCCTCCAAGACAAGGATTAGCTGAAAGATCATACCCTGCATGTCAATGTTTAGAAGTTCAAATTTTAAAGGTATCCAGAAGAAAAAAGGAAAAAAGTAAAATTTGCAATAGAGCACGTGGGAAAGCAGGTCTAAAACCATATTTGAAATTAAATTGAAATGTATGTACAAAGTTCAGGCACATTGTAAAAATTAAAGCTGCTCCAGAGATACTTTCAGCATAAATCAGTTTCCTGCCAGATTTTCTTAAAAAAAAAAAAAAAAAAAAACAAAAAACAAAAACCAAAAGCAAAACAAACAGATGACTTTGGCATTTGAAACACTCATTTGCAAAGAGTTTCATGCAGACTGATAAATGCAGAGATTTTTTCATGGTGTGTATAATTAGTCCATTGAAACACACTAGACCACAAAATGAAAAAGCTTGGGTCATTAATAGTATTTTTAAATGTAAATGTTATTGTTCAGTTTTGGTGACTGATCCCTGTGGAGTCAACATTGCATTTCAAATAAATCTGTGAACACTTGTATCTACAAACTCTATTTTCAGCCTAGCTTTCTTCTATTACTGCATTAACTTGGTATTACTGTTGCTGTATGTAGATTTAAGCCAACTAAAACACGACAGAACAATCTAATTGAGAGGTCTTGTTTCACAGGAGAAGTATATTCAACAGTGTAACACCACTGAGCCACATCTGTCTCAGGTTGTGCCCTACTGAATCTCAACAGCACTTGTCACCTCTTGCTGAAGCTGTTTGTATCCACAGCCAAAAATTCAACATCCCTTTGGTCTAATTCTGCTGTGACAGAATAAGCTATTGCTCCATTTGTCCAGATGTGCTGTTTCAAGGCTGTGTTACCAGTGAGGGATGGCAAATGTGTTCTTTTGATTTTCTTTGCTAGTCTTGCAAAGCACAATAGTGCTGAACTAAATATCATAGAAAATCCACACAGGAGAAATGATGCAGTATAGCTACCAGTTGTGTCCACAAGCCAGCCTGTAGGGAAAAAAAAAATAATTTAGAGGTCCACCAGTATTCTCATGGATAATTTACAAATCCTGTTACCCAGTTATAAACTTTTGGAGTTATCACATATAAAAACAGTCAAATAATACAGATTTACATCACCATCACTATATTTTTACATCCTGGTGCAGAGAGGGATTTATTCTCAGCAGGCAAATAATGTCTTTATAGCCTTTTATTTGGAGGTCAAATCCACAAGAAAAGGCAGAGCAGTCATCACCACACTACTAAATAAACATCTTCCAACTGCCTGGATTTAACTGGCAGTCTTTAGAAGGCTTAGAGAGCTCCAAGATCTTCATGCAGAAATATTTATTAAGCTGTGGCCAGGCTCATGCTTCACTCAAAACAATTCTATTTTGCAATAATTTTTGCTATGAAAAATTAAATTAAAAGCTTAATGAGCAGTGATTAATTGGGAATTGATGTAAACATCAATTTACAAAATATGCAACATATATAGAGTTGGTTGTTTGAAAAAGATCTCAGAGCTTCCACAGTATTAAAAACTGTGTCAAGTGCTTTCTAAATAATAATAAGGGTACAGCTCTCATCCTTACTTCACTGTAATGGTACAAATGGCAAAAATGATGGTTAGATATTACAGGGATGAGTGTATGACCAAACAGGAGTGAAGCTGACTCACCCACCTGTTCAAAGCAATGTAGAGACTAAATACAAAAAGAAAACATAAAAGAAAGACAAACTTGGAATTAAACTCTCTTTAGAGAGATTTGGATTTTACAAAATCATGTAATTTCACAGTGGAATCTTTTACTCCTTCTACTTGCACAGTTTCTAAACTACGTGAAGTGGTGATGTAGCAGCTCTTAGAAGCCTATTTCATACTGGTTTGTTTTTTAAGTTTCATCTCATTCTATATGTAGAAATCATCCCACTGAGACCAGCATGGGAAATCTAAAGAGTTATGAATGTCCAGGTGTGTTATTCCTTTACCCAGAGGCTGCCTTCACATTCGCTGTACATTTGCTAACTTTCCTTTCCCTTTACATCAATAGGTAAATCTGAAGTACTGATAAGGTTGTGGGGAAGTCGTTTGGCAAAACTGACCTGCCACAGGTGGGCTCACTAGATATGGTATGGCATGGAGAAAATACACAACGCCCAGTGCTGATGATAACAAAGGAGTTCCCACTGCATCTGCCGTCACAACAGGGATCAGCGTTACATAGGCTCCATCAAAGTAGCCAAAGGTAAATGAGAAAGGCACAAGCAAGGGGAAGCTTTGGAGAACTGGCAGGAAAAGACAAGAGAGGCCATCCATTCCCACAGCAAAGAGGTAGCAAAAGTACCGATGTTTCTTCAGGCACCTGCAAATTTCAAAACAGAAAAGAAAAAGATTATCACTGAAACCAGCATTTCAGCTTCTATGCCCTGGCATGCAGTGCTTCAGTCTCTCTCTCTTTTCTATGGCTCAGATCAAGTCAATTGCCTTACACAAGCCTTCACTCAGCAGACAAGCCCAGGCTGGGAAAGTTGCCCACCTACAGCTGCAGAAACACCTGGCCAGCAGCAGCCTGGTGCCTGCTGTGTTCTTCAGGATGTTCCTAGTGACAGAGCCCTGCTCCCAGGATTTTGCAGACCCATGAAGTTTCAATGTTCCAAGCAGTATTTCATTAGGCTTTACATCCCAACTCAGCAAGGTGCTCCCAGAATTATGCATAAAATATTGCAGTATAGCTCTCTTAGCTGCCACCTTTCTAGTCAGCCCTTAAATGTGAATTAGTGTGAATTAAGTGAGATGGCAATTCTCTCCCTTCCTGCTTCACAAAAACAATGATTTCTCCCACAAACTAAATAAGTGTAAAGAATGCATCCTTTAGAATCAAAATCCTTGCTAATTTGGCCAGTATCTACTGATGTTACAGATGCTGTACACTGATGTTCAGAGTGAGCTAAGTTCACAATGCATGGTGAGTTCTTATATACTGAAAAATGTATAACAATTTTCAGTCAGTCCTTCCTAGCATGTGCCTAACAATATTGGGCCAGACCCTGGACCCTCTTCCATAACTTCTGAGCCTCCCCAGCAGCACAAAAGAGATGGAAAAGCAGAGGAAACAGGGCGAAATCCCCTTGGAAATAGATATGGAGAACGACACGCAACATACCTCAGGGAAGGGGTTACATTTCCACTATCAAACATACAAACACGTCATTTTTTCAGGAAAAAATTATATTAAACCAATTGAACAATCTCAGAAGAGACAAAAAGATTAAACAGCAAGCATTCCTGAAAGTTAGACTCTGTTGGGGGTTTTTAAATTACACATGCTAGAGAAAGGGTACATCATGTTAGCTTTTACATGTATTATACCTTGCTTGTATCCAGCCTCCCACCAGCTAAAGCTTCCCCTTGATCAGCCAGAAGCCCTTACCTTCTGTCTGTGAGCCATCCAAAGGTGATATTACCAATGATGTCTACGACACCAAGTATGGACATGAGGAAGGCAGCCTGGTGATGACTCACTCCAACACTCAGAGCATAAGGCACTAGGTAGACAAAAAGAGGGCTGCAGCCATATGCCATAAATAAAATTGACACTGCCAGCACCATGAAGCCTGGCATCAGCAAAAAGTCATATTCCTTCCATGAACAGTAGCATAAACATTCACGAGGCCATAATTTGATTAAAGGTGAAGAGATGGACATTCGCTTTAAGTCTTGTTTCTCTGTTTCAGAGACATAATTCTGTTCAAGCAACTCAGGAGCAGCTTTACAATCCTCCTTAAGAGAAATAGGCCGCATCAAGGCACCACAGACACAGAGGTTTAGTACAAAACCTCCCAGGATGAGCAAAGCTCCTCGCCAGGAAAACTGCTCAATTAAGAGCTGGACCACAGGGGCCAGGATGAAGGTACCAATTCCACTTCCTGACATGGCTATTCCATACGCCAGCGCTTTCCTTTTGTTGAAGTATTTGCCCACCATCGCAATGGCTGGAGAATAACAAAGTGCAAATCCAAGTCCTAGAAAAGAAAGCAAAGTGCAGATGGCTTAATAGACATATGGAACATATTAAAGCAAACCACATAATGCATTTTCATTAGTACCAAAGAATAGAAAGCTTTTTCTGATTCTGCATCACGCAGGCCAGTCTGAGTTTGATGAGAAACTAGGATGATGTCTTTCTTCCACTGGCAGGGTCCCTGACTTGACAAACCTAACTGATGACCATTAATCCACAATAAGAAGACTCAGACAGAAGTAATGGTCATAATAAGAACAAGGAGGATCACTAAACATGAGAGAACGGGTGTGCCAGCCTTTCATGCATACAAGATGAGGTCTTGCCCCAGGGTCTGCACCAATGCTGACACTGGACATGCTGTCCTGATGAGGCACCACTTTGTGTTTTGGTCTGTTGCAACCCTGAGCATTAATTTTCAGGTCTCTGAAACACAGTACAAAGAGCCTGTCTCTGTTACTAATATTCTACAATAAACCTCTCTTGGTCTGCTAAACAAACCCCTTGCAGCAGATGCTTGGAGTCCTGACCATTTCAGATCCCTGCCTACAAGTAAAGAGGGGAGAAAAGCCTCAGAAAGCCAGATCCAGTTGAGTAAACAAATAAGATTCATCTCTTGGATGGAGAAAAAGATTGTGGTCTCTGCTGCAGAATCAGAGAGCAGGTTTTAATCATCAAGTGGTTGCCCTAACACTAAAATACGTATTTCTGAATCACTAATAGAAATTAGTTCCTGACTAGGGTTTTGGAGCATGTTCTATATTGAGGGTGAAACAGTCCCCAGTGCCTTTGGCAGAACTTGCTGACAGAGGATAAAACAGTCCCCAGTGCTGTAACTGGCTTGCCACATCCTCCTCAAAGGCCACACTGTGTGAGGCAGGCACTAAACCTGCCAGGATGGAATAAGAGGATTAGAGGGACTCTTGGCGACGGGTGCCCAGTCTGGCACCCCTCAGGAGGTGAGGGGACAAGCAGGGCACAGAGCTGAGCTTGGAGCTGTACAGGCAGCAGAGCCAGCAGAGCAGCCCTGAGCTAGACATCAACACTCAAGAGCTATGAAAATCATACTTTATTAGGCATATACACCATTTATTTTTCAGTGAGTTGGCAGGGGGAAAATGTCTCAAAAAAGCCAACAAATGTCCTGTGAAAAGTGGAAAGTTTAGGGCTGAAAACACTTTCATACCGCTTACAAGGAACTCCGCTACTTATTGACACTCCCCAATCTCACCTCTGCTTCACTCCTTGGTTTCAAGTCCTGTTGCTTTTATGGATTTAGACATTCACTTGTTGTGTTCCCATCTGCTCTCTGGGTTGGGGGCACCACATCTAGCCTTTACCAACAGTTCACCTCTCTGTTCATCAGCCCCCACAGGCTGAAAGTTCACTGCTTGTAATGAACTTGGCTCTTTACTACTCCATGTAAGTTGTAACTGCCTTTCCACCTCGGTATTCACAGCAGCCCCCACTAAAGAAGCCTCACAGGTATTAGCATGGTTTGTAGCACAGTCCCTCGAATTACAAGAAGCCTTTTTATTTGTTATGAACACATTTTGTCAAAGATTAACATTGTAATACAGGAGCAACAGGCACTAAAATAAGGATTTTTTTTTTTTTAAATAAATAAGCTGTTGGCAGCATGTGAACTGCAGTAATTCCACCAACTCGTTACTAAACTCCAGGGGACCAAGTACAAGGTCTTATATCACCGTGGCTACCAGGTCAGTATTAATGAGGAAGGAATGTCAGTGTGACCACAGGCCCCTCTCAAGTTCCTTTGTGCACAAGAAACACAGGCAGATAGGACAGAGCAAAGATTTGTTTTCACCATACCTGAGCAAAAATGGAGGAGCTGCTACAGCAAGACTACCAACCAGCAATTTTTTTTTGCTGTTCAACTGGAATGCAATGCAGACAAAAGTAAGGCATACAGCTGAGGTGCCTGGTATTCGCCAAGAGCTCCTCTATTCTTACTTACATTTATGTTTTAGTTTAATTTTTTTTCCCAAATATGCAAATATATTAGGGCAATCTAGAACTTCTGCTATAACAAACTCCTCCCAAATCCCAGTCAAAATAGGGGAACCTTTTCATGTACACCAACTGCAACAGCAGTTCTTCCTCACCTCCCATAACTTCAGAACTTTATTGACAGTCCTCTCTCCAACAGAAGGTAAAGTTGCTTTTGCAGCGTGCTGCATTTGTGTGATATGAGATCAGTCAGTGCTGAAGCTCTTGCTGGCCCAGCCTCTGGTCTACAAACATGGGAACAGGTCTGAGTATCTCTATTTGACCAGTGCAGTGTCAGTATGACATGGAGAAGAGATCACCCATTGTTTTTAGCATTCCTGTCTTGTGTTCTGGCAGCAACAAAGGGGCTGAATGCATCCTACCTGTGAGGACTCCTAATGATAAGTAGAGATGTTCCAGACTGGTGGCGAATGAGCTCAGAATTAGTCCAGTAGATGCCAGCAGCCCTCCTAGCATGATACCAACTTGGCAGGATACATGATTACTGATTAAACTCCCAAGCGGGGCTTCAAAGAAACAAATAAAGCTGGTAGTTAATGGCAGGTCCTCACACACAGTTCACTGCAACAGTTATACTAAAAAGGAAGCAGGAGAAAATGGTGTTTGCAGCTACAGAGTGGTCTTCCAACATAATTCTTTCACAATGGCATGAGCACCAAATATAAAGAAAAAATCCTCTAAAAGTCAGGTTAAACCTGAAACTTGCAGTACCTTTCTCAGCAGCCATATCTGTAGATCAAAGTCATTATGGAACCCAGCTAATCTGCAGTGTCAGGGGGTCAAGACAGGTCACAGGAACAGCCCACACTGTTATGCTTACAACACTCAGACTTTTCCCCACCTGGAATTTGCACTTCAGCCCTCAGTAACTTTAGGTATCCTTCCTCACAACTCCCTGGCCTTGTGGGCTCTGGGTTAGACACAAACAGGAGAGGTCTCACATCTTTTGGACAATCTCCAGGGCTGCTACCCTTCTCCTGCACTTCTCCAACTCCAATGTCTCCCATATCACCCTGCCTCTACCATGGGATGCCATCACCTACCCTTCTCCCCTTCTACTACCTGCAATGCCAGGGCAAGGATACCCCTATTTCTCTCTTTTCCCCAAGATATAACCTGGCTGTCACAGGTGAGTTGTTGCATCTCATTCTTGCTGTGCCCCTCTGCCTTTCTAGCAATTCTTATGGATTAATCTCTTCTACAGGACCAGGGCATGGATTTTCACCAAGCTGTACAGCTTTAAAGAAAACCCATGAGAAATTCAGTACAACTACTGTGTTGATGCACATGATTTTTAATAATAGCAAATTTTCTTTTAAGAGAGAAGACTATTTGTAAATATACATTTTTGATAAAAGGAGGATGGTTGTGACTTGATCTGGAGGCAAGATGTACATCCTGTGCTACATCTCAAATAGGACTCCAATCAAAAGGCAAAAGAAACAATTGCTCAGTTATTAGCTCTTAAACATGAGGTGTCCCAATAGACCTGAACAAAGGGACATTTCTGAAAAATTAGATCATTTCACAAAACAAAGTTCTGCTTCTTTTTTTTTCTTTCATGAAGGCACTCCCTTGCAGAACTGTGTTGGGGGAAGCAGATTGGATATACCATACCCCAGAGATCCCACAGTATCACTCTTTCCCAGCTGACTCTGCCAACTTGTGAGCATGCTAAAAACAGATAGAGCCAATGCAAAAGTAGCTACATTACTCTTGAAAGGGTAATACACACCACAAAGCATCGTAGCACAGTCCACAATGGAGTGGATCCAAGCAGTTCTGGCATAATCCTGCCCAAAGTATGCCTGAAACTCCACAAAAAAAATGGAGATGCACCTAGGACAAAAAACATGAACAGCAGTCAGTTAAACATGGAATATCTGCCTCATGGAAAATACTGTTCTCACTCTTCAGGTATAAAAAGTATCCACTTGAAGGTCCTCTCCAGCTCCTGGGAAAATCAAAATTGTGGTTGTGAACATTATAATATCACATGTTTCTTGCTGAGGTATCTGCTGCTAGAGTTTTTATGACTCGGTATTTTGAACTAAAAGGAAATTGAAATGCTAATTCTCCCCAGCAACTTATAGCCCATATGATGATGTTGCTTTCCTGGCACACAAAGCCCTGGCTTCACAGTTGTTCACTAGCCTTATTGCTCACTGTCCCACACCCACACAAACTGGGAGGGTAGGGTCAATGTAACACCTGCAGAGCAAACCCCACCTGCAGCTGTGTGCTCATGGATGGACAACTGCAAAGTAACTCCTCTCAAACAAAGAATCAAAACACAGCAGGAGCCTGTGGACCTTCCAGCAGTTTAATAAAATGTTTGCAGGAGAGGTCCCTTCTCAACTTGACAAGTGTCACTGTTCAATATGTCCCTGCAGAGGAACAGATTAAAAGGTTGCATAATTTCATTCTCTTTTCTGGATCAACAAGAGATGCCTTTTCCCAAATCAGTGAATGACCACTTTCTTCAGCTTTTTTTCTTGCACATATTTCACTCTTCTATGTAGTCTAATGTGTGCCAGCCATTAGATTATTTCCTGTATGTAACACATTGCACACACAAACATGGAATTAAATCCTCTAGGAATTCTCTGCTATTATTATGGAATTGGTACATTTGTATGCATTAACTAACACTGGGTAAGTGTTTCTATCCCCTTCTGTGCTGTTGACTCCAAGATCCTAGATCCCTAAAGATTTAAGATCTCTAAATCTGGAAGCTTTATTTTAAAAGAAATAAGAACTTTAGGTAGGAAACACTGTATTTCCACTATACTGACTGCCCAACAAGTTTTCCTCACTTACCAGGGTGCTTAACTCTCTGCTTAATAAAGCTAAATTGTCCATGTTCACACACACCAGGCTCCTCTATCTGCAGTCAACATCAAAGTCACTGTGAAAGCAATCTCATCCCAGATTGCGTTATTTTTATGCGAGGCAGCAGTCTAGTTCTTGTTCTCTCCTGTTCTTTCTATTTTGAGAAAATATTTTCTGCATATTTTGGATACCAGAAGGGTGCAGAGAGGAGTCTCTTCTCTAGGGCTCGGACCCTCTCAGGTAGGACAGTGTCTGAAATGCTCACAGTGGGAGAAGGGGGTATTGACATGATTTTCACATTGACTCAGGAATCACGTAATTCACTGGGACTGGCAAAAATGAGCACGGCTGTGGGGTCAGAGGGACACAGTGAACCCAAAGAGACCCTACACGATTCTTCCCTCCCCAGCACACCACCACAGCCTGAAATAGCTCTACCTGCCCCTGGCCTTGATTCTGTAAGAAATCAGGGAGCAGGTGCTGAAAGCTAGAGCAGCTGTCAGAGGAGGCGAGACTAAAGCCAGAGGGCTCATAATCCCTTGGTCGCCCCAGCAGCCTTAGGGGTTTCAGGAGATAACAAACCCTCTTCCTATGGCGGAAAAGAAAAGAAAGCTAATGCCACAAAGAGGCCAGCAAGACAAGCAGCAGTGCCTTTACCTTGTTACGGCCCTGGTGCAGATGGTGACAAGGAAGCAGCCAGCGACAATCATCCATCCCCAGCCTCCGTCGGGAGGGCCGGCGTGCCGGGTCCGGCGGGATGAGGCCATGGCGGTGCCTGTGCTCCTCGCCTCAGGGACAGCGCCTGGCTGCGGCCCTCACGGCCGGCGCGGGCCCGGGCTGCTCGGCACATGGGGCTGCGGCCATCTGCGGAGAGAAACAGCCAGGGTCAGGACAGACTGCACACGGTGTAACCCGAGCGGCTGGGCAGACACTGCCTCAGCCATCCCTACTGCAGAAAAGGGAGCGTTTCTTTCACATGCAGTTTATGAAAATTTGTTGGAACCAAGAGGACCATCAAGATTTGAGCCAGTGTCTGGTATCATGCTTTTCATGATAATTTGGGTGATTTGTCCAGCACTTGCGTCCTAGCACACAATACCCTCTTCCCCTGCATGTCACTGCATAAATGTGCAAGTCACTTCACTGCTGCCAGTCCTCATACACCTCTGGCAGGCTCCCCACTCATCCATCCCTGGCCTGAACAGTATTTTCAAATGCAATCACTAGTCAAACTAGCTACTGTTCCTTGTACACAGTTTAGTGTGAAAGTTTTGTTTGAGAGAATACAGTTTTCACCTTTGTATGGAAAGGGAATATGTACTCCACAATCAGAGCAGATCTGATGATAAAATGTCCTCTGTATTCTCACGAGCTAAACCCCAGATGAAAGCTCTAATCAGCAGGACACAGCAACTTAATTTTGTGAGCATGGACAGTTCACAGAAGGTTAGAGGTAGCCTGTTCCCCTCTCCTAACCACTTAAATCAAAACTGTGTCTGCATCCAGGCCATCAAATTGTCTCTAAATACACACTGGGTGCTGCAGGAGATCCACTGACACCCACTGGATGCACCCCTGGTGAGTAACTGAGTCATATGCTTTGCTGAGGGGACCAACAAAAAGCCCTCAGTCCTTTTGCATCAGTGACTGAATGGCAGGGCTCAGCCAAGGGACCTGAAGTGCCCCAATTTTCTCAGTGCAGGAACACACAGTGCTGGCTGTCAGTGCCACATTTCAGCCCGTGTTTCTGCCATCACCCACCAGCCTCTGGATGGATCAAAGACTTGTAAGACATAAGCAGAATATCTGGGATGCCTTTCAGTTTTGCTTGAAGAGAAAGCTCAAATACCTTCCATCTCACCTTGATACAACAGATGCTGAGAATGCAAAATTCCCACTGACAAGAACCACAGGCTTCTCAGAAGGTGTTACCTGTTAAGGCAGATCAGAGGGATACAGAGCCACTTAAAATGGCAACTCAAGAAAGCAGCTACATGGTTAAAGTGTGCATCCTCAGTCCTTGAAGCTGCTCAGACAGGTGATGCTCAAGGCTTGACCCTGCAAAGACCAGAGCTTCCTGACCCAAAACAGCAAGACACTCTAGAACTAGCCCTAAACATCATCAGATCTGAACCTCTGAGAAGTGTCCCTCAGCGACCTCCTTGAGATATCCAGCTCAAAACCAAAACCAGAATTATTTTAAGAAAACATATACACACTGCCAAACTCAAAGGTGAGCAAAGTAGGAGAAAGCAGGTATGACAAACAAAAACCACAACATGTTGAAAGCTTAGTAATATAGTTAGGTGGAGTTTGCATAAGCACATGGTCCATCACAGGAGGATCCTGGGCACTTTCTGCAGAGTCTTTGCAGGGAGAAGCTCCTTATTTTGGGTCTGAGCAGTATCTTTCATTGCCCCTTCTACAGGAATGAAGGGGGTTTTTATGGGGTTGTTTTTTTTTCTCTTCAGTGGTTTTTTTTTTGTTGTTTGTTTGGTTGGTTGGTTTGGTTTTCTTTTTCAAGTTTTGATTATTTAGGGTGGAAGAGGAACTTCCAGGAATGGCAGAATGGATAACAATAACCCTTCAATAAGAAGAAATATATACAAAAAATGTTCAGATCTGCACATACAGAGCCCTAACTAATTTTAATGCACAAACAGCAGTAGCTGGGTGGCATGGCCTCAGCCCAGATCTCTGGCCCCACTTCCCAGGCAAGCCTCAGCTCAGGGTTGAGTTCACATTTTTAGCTGTACATTAACGTACTTGGGAAGAATTTGATGGGATATCAGGCTAAGTAAACATAGATTAGGTGTTTGGTTACATGGTTACTAGCTGTTATTTTCCCAGAACCCTGCCAGCAAACATTTAATGAGATTACAAGCAACTGAAAACAACCATATTATTAAAAATGCCTGGCCAACATGAAAAGGCCACCCAGCCTCCCTATAGCAGATTAGTGCAGACCTCATCTCCTTGATTCCCCACTTGCTTCAAGGAGTGCTGTGCCTTTCACAGCCACTGAACTAATAGGCAAGTTAAATTATTACCTTTCTTGTTGCTGCACATGTCTAAAAGCACTTATTATGTCAACCTGACAATTTCATTCGGAGGGTAGGAAACTTCATTTGCTTACACCCCAGTGCTGTTTTCCAATTATCTGTATGGTGGATAGTACAGGCTGTGGACTCTGTAAATGAAGTTGAACAGCGAGAAAGCACACTTTATCTGAGCAATCATATCCTCCTCCTTCCCAAAAGCCAGTTTGCTCTCATGTTGCATCTTTTTCTCAACTTTTCTGGTACAGGCTAAGACTATTTTTGAATATTTGCTCCACTGTAAGGCCTGGCAGCATTGGCTGCTATTATATCTCAGAGGTACATGAAAGTTCCTGCTGCTTGAGACAGCTGAAGGAAAGCAGGGTTAAAATATAATCTCATGAAACAGCTCTATACTTTGCTAGGTAATTTTCACCCAAGCACTACGTAAATGTGCTTTGCTGTGAGTTCAAAGAAGATGCAAGTGGGGTGAAGATGGTACAAATTCTGCTGATCCTTAGAAAGCCTTAGTTACCCAATGTGCCCTGGCAGCTCACTAAACAGTGACTCTGTTCCCCCAAGAAAAAACATTAGGTTTGATTTGGCAGGATATATCAGTTGCTTCAGCAGCCAGAAAGAAGCCTAGAAAGAAAGCAAATGCTCCTGAGAGCACCTCTCTTACCCAGTCACTCAGCAAGCAGAAAGGAGGGGGTGAGTTTACTAAAAAGGCACTGCCATAACCTTGCACCTCATCACAAGGTCCCTTTTGCCAGGAAAAGGAGCACAAAAATCCACGGCAGCTTAGCAACCAGCCAGCACAGCGACAGGAGCCCCTGACCTTTCAAACAGCTCACAGGCAGCAAGAGCTCGCTGCTCCCTGTGCCCACCTCTCCTGCCACCCTAAAGGTTTCATTCTTTGTAATTCGATCAATAATTGATATCACAACAACTTGAAAATGCAAAGTATTTGTATGACAAAGGACAGAGGAACAGCAGGTACAGTCACTGTGGCCTGTCTGGGGACCTTGGCTGGGTTTTTCCTACCTTGTTCACCTGCTCCATTTACAGCGCTGGCAACTCCCTCGTCTCAGGAAATGCCACCTCCAGTGCTTTTTGAAAATGCTCCATTTGCAGAGGGATTCAGCTTCAGCCAGAGGAACAGGCATAGGGTGAGATTTGTATCACAGCTGCCCCACAGCAGGAACACAGATCCCAGACCATAGTGGGGGACCCACTCCACTACTTTTTTATTCTGCACCCTCTCCTGATTATACAAAATCAAAACGGTTCTGTGTGTTTAGATGCCTTACAATTTCTTTCAGAACTGCATGGAAGGATTCTGTGCAGTTTATCCCTAGGGAGCTGCCCCAAATATGTATTACCAGCATAAGTAAGCACAGAATCCAACACTTACTTTTACCTGTTCCATAATGCAGAGATGTACATGTCAGAAAAATGAGAAAGAGACTTATCTAGAATTTTCTTTCTGGACCAGTGTGAGATAGTTGAACTGTATGTGCCATTTGCTTCCTTTACCATGAAGATGGGGTGGGAGAGGCCTGAGAAGCCTGTGACAGTCTCTGTGCCCAGAATGCCAGGACACACTTCCAGAACAGGTTCATGCACACCAATGAATTTAAACTGCACTTCTCTGGTGAACAACACACAGCTTTCAAAGTCACTCTAAGAACATCTGTGCAGATGAATTCTATGAACAAGTATAAGGCAGTTTAAGCATAGCTGGAGTAGATTCATTAATGCGTGAAAGGTAACAGAATTGCATATATTTACTATTTAACCTACACACCTAATTGTAGGGCAGTTTACTACCTTCTTGTATTTACTATTCACATAGCTCTAGGCCAGATCTTCTGTCTTTCTTGTTCTTCAGATTGCACCAAACTTTCTAGGCACTTGCTACATTCATGTTGACCTCTTGTTTTAACACTCTCCTGCTTTCTTTTTTCTTTGACTATTGCATCTTCAATGAAATGAAAAATAAACAAACTAAAGAACTGTGAATAAAGGAAAAAACAAAAAGGGTGTGGTATGAGTATCAAAGACAGAAGAGAGAAGAAGGAAAAAGCTACCTAACAATAATATGTATGTTCTGTGGGACAGTGGAGCAGAAGATTAAATATTTTACAGCTTTTGAAAGAGTTCATTTCTTTTGCATGTCTTGAAGGATCAAGGATGACCGCATCTGACCATCGACCAGAGTCCTTCCCAGAAGTTTGCTACCTTAACTTACACAGTAGAGTACATTTAAATGGGACATGGTATTGCATATGAGCACAGAAGATGCAGACAGCTGCAAACCCTCCATTGACAGGTCCAGTTAGGAGAAAAGGAGGTACTCTTTTTTGGGTTTTTTCCTGTTTGGAAAAAACAAGACACTTTTCCAGCCTTTTTTGCTTCCCCATATTTCCACACTAGCAATTGCATATCATGGTAGGCACTACAGCCAGAATTCTGGCAGGCTGCTAAATCCTAAATTGTTCTTAACTACATGGAAAATAAAGACTTCAATTCTGTACAGCTCTTGGGATGCAAACACTATTTCTAATCTAATCTATTTTCTCAAGTCAACAGCTGTCCCATTCTGTACCCTAAGTTAGCTATTTAACTCAAAAAGAACAGCTTGTTTTGATTTCAGCAGAGTCTATTTATCAAGAATTATAAGATTATGACTTTGACTTGTTTAACAACAACCCAAGTGGTTCTCTGTAACCCTCTATTCCTAAATAAAAATAACTCCATTGAGCACCATAAGGCTGTCACTCTATATTGTCAGCTTTTCTCTGTTTGAATTTGTGTCTGTCCATT